GAAGGGACCCAAGACTGATGATCAGAAAGTAAAGCCTACACCTAGTGATGGTCAGAAATCTAAGGCAGAAGGGAGAGTATATGCCTTGACAAAGCAGTATGCTCTCGCATCTAACTCCAATGTTACAAGTGCACTCGTTATTTCCTCTCAGCTCACATATGTGTTGTTTGATTCTGGTTCTTCTCATTCATTTATATAATTGTGAGGTTTACCGAGTCAACCGGAGTACAAAGTGTTGACCGCATTGAGACGTGACCTGCTTATTTCCATTTCATGATTTTTTTTAAGTTTTCTTAAATAATTGCATCAAGTACTAGAGTTCATTGATGATTTCCTATCATTCTTATATTTTGATCATCGTTTGTCGAAATATTTGAATTTTTGCAAAACCAGTGTTCAATGTACGAATTTATCCACTTATTGAGTTGTGAACTCATTGTGTTATTTTTATTCTTTTCAGAGACTCGAGATTAGGTGGAGTTGATGGTTCATGAGTTATTAGAAGGAAGCAATGAATAAAATTTATAGATTGCTACTTTTCGTTTAGGTGAAGGTTGAATAAAGTCTTCGATATGTAGTTGATAATTTGAAGCTTTGTAATAATGGAATATTTACCTTTAGGTCGAGTTTTATGTCAAGCTGATAAATGTTTGTTTATCTCAAGTAATTGGATTAGTATTGACTTTTGGATTATAGATAATACTTTATTATTGGTTTTAATTCAATGATGAGATTATTTTGATGGTCTTTTGATGAATGTAGATTCTTAGAGGGTTTTTTTTACAGGTTTAGTCCGGCTTCAATACTTCTTTTTGGTTTTGGAAATTGAGGTCGTGATAAGATGAGGGGAAACACAAGGCACAATGTGAGATTTTTTCTTTTTCTTTTTTTTTAATGTGAATTGCTCACTGAATTTTTGAGGTTTTCTTCTGTGAATGTAAGTGTGGACCCCGAATATGTACTTCTGATTTTATTTGTTCTCTACACTCGTAAAGTTCCAAATGATTTGGCCAAAGTCAGACCATGGAATGGAAGCACAATAAATATTTGTTGACAAGAAGTTTCTCATCTAATCCACGACGAACTTTTTGGTCGTCCATTGGATGAAGAGAAAACCACGAAGTGATTAAATAAGTTTAAATGCAGTATAGATTTCTCTTTGTGGGGATCATATGTGTTTTCAATTTGTTATAGCCATTTAATATTTGTAAGTAAGTCCGTTGCCTGGTAGAGGAAGACATCACGGAGATGGACTTGGGTTAAGTTTGTACTTCCGTGCTGAGGGAGGTAGAACAGGCACCCTGGATAAGCGATCCAGTGAGTCCAAGAAAATGGCCTTTTTCAATGGACAAGATTGTGCTTGCCTAGAACATACGTTGGCTAGATTATTGTTATGATGCACTTAGTGAGAGACAGGTATTTTTAAAAACTCCGGCGACAAATAGGTATTTTACCGGAACCCGTGTGTCAATGGGTTTACATTTCTCTCATGGCTAGCCAAAAGACAGTCGGAACTGGTCACATGCAGGTCATGTGTGGGTTTTTAAGTTAATTACGGACTGACATGGCAGGGATTAGTGATGTGGCACTCTCCTAGTGGTTTTTTAACTACCCTCAAACCCTACAAATAGCCAAATACTCCTTTTGCCAATTTCCCCCAAAATTTCTAATTTTTTTTTTGGGGTGGGGGGGGGGGGGG